CAATATGGAACTATTCCCTATCTTAGAATTCCATTTAGACCTCGATATCACTAAAACCTACTTCAAACCAAATTTAAAGAACTTCAAAAACTTTCAAAGAACTAACTTTCACAATTTGGCGTTGAAACGCTCCCGGGTCATCCAAAATCCGGTCCGAATATATGCCCAATTCCAAAATCATTATACAAACTTATTAGAACCATCAAATCCCAATTTCGAGGTTGTTTACTCAAAATTTTGATCGAAGTCAAACTTGGCCTATTAAGCCAACCTTAAGGAACCAAGTGTTCCGATTTCAACACGGACCCTTCCAAATCCCTAACTAACCATACCCGCAAGTCATAAACAGTAAAAACATCTATGGGAAGTCTTATTTAGGGGAACGGGTTTTTAGAAAGCAAAACGATCGGTCGGATCGTTATATTCTCCACCTCTTAAACAAATGTTCATCCTCAAACGGGTTTAGAATCATACGTGAAGTGCTAAATAAGTGTGGATATCTGCACCGCATGTCCTCCTCTGACTCCAAGGTCACCTCCTCAGCAGGTTGGCCCCTCTACTGGACCTTTACTATGGAAATCCTCTTGGATCTCAACTGGCGATCCTGTCTAGAAACAATGGCATCTGCTCTTCCTCATAACCCAAGCTCTCATTTAGCTGAATAGTGCTGAAGTCTAACACATGTGACAAGTCGGCGTGATACCTCCGGAGCATAGACACGTGAAAAACCGGATCAACCCCTGATAGGCTGGGTGGTAAATAAAGTTCATTAGCAACCTCCCCAACTCACCTCAACACCTCGAATGGGCCTATAAACCTGAGGCTCAACTTGCCCTTCTTCCCGAATCTTATAATACCCTTCATCGATGAGACTTTCAAGAGAACCCTCTCGCCTACCATAAATGACACATCACGCGCCTTCTGATTCACGTAACTCTTTTGTCTGGAATGTGTTGTGCGAAGTCGCTCCTGAATCAACTTTACCTTTTCCAAGGCATCCTTCACCAAATTAATACCATATAACTTAGCCTCGCCGGGCTCAAACCACCCGATAGGAGAACGACATCACCGACTATATAAAGACTCAAATGGAGCCATCTCGAAGCTGGACTGATAACTGTTGTTGTAAGCAAACTTGGCCAAAGGCAAGAACTGATCCCACTATCCCCCAAAGTCAATCACACATGCTCTGAGCATGTTCTCCAAGATCTGGACTATCCGCTCTGACTACCCAGCAGTCTGTGGATGAAACACAATGTTGAGCTGTACACGGGTCCCCAACTCACTCTGTACGGCTCTCATGAAATGTGAAGTGCACCTAGGGCCTCTGTCTGATATGATGAAAACAGGCACATCGTGCAACCGAACTATCTCCCGAATATAAATCTTGGCCAACCTGTTTGAAGTATAAGTAGTTGCAACTGGAACGAAGTGCGCTGACTTGGTCAACCTATCAACAATGACCCAAACTACAACGAACTTCCATAAGGTCCGCGGCAACCCAACTACGAAGTCCATAGCAATGCGGTCCGATTTCCACTCCGGTATAGTCATCTGCTGGAGTAAGCCACCTGGCCTTTGGTGCTCATACTTAACCTGCTGGAAATTTAGGCACCTAAGTACATACTCAAATATGTATTTCTTAATTGGCCGCCACCAATAATGTTGTCTCAGGTCCTGATACATCTTCTGAGCACCTGGATGAATGGTAAATCGAGAATTGTGTGCCTCCTCAAGGATCCTCTCCCTCAAGCCATCGACATTAGGAACACATAGGCGACCCCGGAGTCGCAGGACACCATCATCTCCAATAGAAACCTTCTTGGCAACACCCTGTAGAACTGTCTCCCTAAGAACTGCCAAGTGTGGATCATCAAAATGTCGAGCCTTGATCTGCCCCAATAGTGAAGACTGAGCAACAACACATGCAAGAAGTCGGCTAGGCTCTGAAATATCCAACCTCACAAGTCTGTTGGCTAAGGACTGAATGTCCAAAACTAGTGGCCTATCCTCTGCTGAAATGAATGCCAAGCTATCCATGTTCTCTGCCTTCCTGCTCAAGGCATCCGTGACTACATTCGCCTTGCCCAGATGATAAAGAATAATGATGTCATAGTCCTTCTGCAACTCAAGCCATCTGCACTGCCTCAAATTGAGATCCATTTGCTTGAACAAGTGCTGCAAACTGCGGTGATCAGTGTAAACCTCACAAGGCACCCCATATAGATAATGCCCCCAGATCTTAAGAGTATGAACAATCGCGGCCAACTCTAAATGGTGCACAGGATAATTTTTCACATGGGGCTTCAGTTGACGAGAAGCATATGTCATAACTCGCCCCTCCTACATCAATACACATCCCCAGACAATGCCTGAAGCGTCGCAATACACCGTATACATCCCCTAACCAGAAGACAACACTAGAACAAGTGTTGTAGTTAAAGCTACCTTGAGATTCTGAAAGTTCGCCTCACAATCAGCGGTCCAACAAAATGGAGCACCCTTCTGGTCAATCTAGTCAAAGGTGCTGCAACGGATGAGAAGCTCTCCACAAATCAGCGATAATAACTTGCTAGCCTCAAGAAACTCCTGATCTCAGTCGCCGAAGTAAGATGAGGCCAACTCTGAACTGCCTCAATATTCTTGGGGTCCACCTTAATACCCTCGCCTGATACGACATGCCCCAATAATGCCACAGAATCTAACCAAAACCTATACTTGGAGAACATAGCAAAAACTTCTGTTCCCGCAAGGTCTGGAGCACTACTCTCAAATGCTGCTCATGCTCCCCAGGCTACCTGAGTAGATCAAGATGTCATTAATGAAGACAATGACAAACGAATTAATATAAGGCATGAACACCTTGTTCATCAAATCCATTAACGCCATTGCGGCATTGGTCAAGCCGAAGAACATCACTAGAAACTCATAATGCCCATCCGTATAGTTCCATCTTTCTTCTTCACAAATAACACCGGTGCACCCCAAGGTGTTATACTTGGTCTGACAAACACATTTGCTAACAACTCTTCGAGCTGCTCCTTCAGCTCTTTCAACTCTTTTGGAGCCATACGGTACTGTGGGATAGATATAGGCTGGGTACCCAGAGCCATGTCAATACAGAAATCAATATCAAGATCTGGTGGCATGCCTGGAAGGTCAGAAGGAAACACATCGACAAACTCCCGGACTACTGACACTGAATCAATCGTCGGAGACTCTGTGGTGGTATCCCGAACATAGGCTAGATAAGCCAAACAATCCTTCTTGACCATATGTCGAGCCTTCACAAAAAAGAGATAACCCGACTAGATTTACTGACAGACGAAACCTTCTACTCCAATCTAGGCAACTCTGGTATTGCTAAGGTAACAGTCCTGGCATGGCAATCAAGGATGGCGTGATATGGGGATAACCAGTCCATCCCCACGATGACCTCAAAGTCAGTCATATCAAGTACCAGAAAGTCCGCTCTAGTCTTGTAACCACAAAATATGACCACACAGGACCGATAGATCCTATCCACAACCACAGAGTCACCCACAGGAGTGGACACATAAACAGGAGTACCCAAGGACTCACGAGGAATATCCAGGAAATAAGCAAACAATGATGATACATGTGAATAGGTAGACCCTGGATCAAATAATACCAAAGCATCCCTACCGCAGACAGAAATAATACCTGTGATCACGGCATCTGAGGCCACTGCATCTGGTCTTGACAGAGAAGCGTAGAATCTAGCTGGAGTGCCGCCTGGATGTCCTCCACTTGGCTGAACAATAACTGGCTGACCTCCCCATGCCTGGCCTCCATCTCTAGGATGACCTCTTCCCGTCTGTCCTGCACCTCTAGGCGGTCAGACGGCTGGTGCTGCAATCATGGGCTGATAAACCTATTGTACTGCCTTTCACCAAAGTTTGGGACAGGTTCTCTTCATGTGACCTAGATCCCCACACTCGTAACAATCTCTCGGTACCATAGACTGGTGCCCCGAAGTCTGACCCTGATGTCCTAAATACCCACTAGAAGAACTATGGATGGCTGGTGGGCGATATGAACTCTTCGGCATGAGACTAAAATAGGGTCGCACTAGAGCACCCCGGGGAGGTGGTGGTGTTGGATATGTGGGCCTGCTAGGCTGACCCCTCCCAAACTGACGTTTGACCCTAGCTGAGGCACCTCTAAACTCTCCATAGAAATGGGTCCTCTTGTCCTACTGCATCTTCTCTCTTCCTCTATGGCGGTAGCCCTCAATCCTCCGAGCAATCTCCACTACTAGCTTATAATCAGTACCTTTCTTAACCTCTCGGGCCATACTAGCCCGAATACCAGGGTGCAACCCCGCAACAAATATCCGCACTCGCTCTACGTCGGTAGGAAGTATCATAAGTGCGTGGCGAGACAACTCAGAGAATCTCGCCTCATAATCGGTCAATGACATCTGACCCTGCTCGAGCTGCTCGAACTGACCTCACAATTGTTCCCTCTGAGAGGGTGGAATATACCTGTCCAAGAAAAGTTCCGTAAAATGGTCCCAAGTCATGGAAGGAGAACCTGCTAGTCTGCTAAGTAGATAAGACTACCACCATCTACGGGCCCTGCCCTCCAGCTGGAAAGTAGTGAAATCCACCCCATAGGACTCCAATATCCTCATGTTGTGCAGTCTGTCCCTCCACCGGTCAATAAAGTCCTGGGGATCCTCATGCTGCTCACCCCCAAAGATAGAAGGGTGTAGCCTACTCCATCTGTCCAATAGCATCTGCGGATCATCGTCCGCAGTTGATCTAGGCTAAGGTGCAACCGCTGCAACTTGTTGGGCTCCGTCCACGGGCAGTGTACCCGGAGTCTGATATACTGCAGCTTTATGCCCCGGAGTCTGATATACTGGACCTTTATGCCCCGAAGCCTGGGCAGTAGGGGTCTGTGCTCCCCTTCATGCCTGAGATATGGCTGGGTCTGCTGGAAATAAACCAGTCTGAGTCCTAGTGTCCATGAACCACAGTATATGACCCATGACCTCTTGGAAACTCGGTGCTGACATGAAATCTACCGGGGCAGGCTCTGTCGCGGGCACCTCGCCCAACTCCTCATTGATGGGATCCTCCACTGGATTCGCTGGTGGTGCTACTGGGGTAGCTCTAGGACGCCCTCGTCCAGTACCTCGGGCTGGTTCCTTCCTCCGGCCTCTGCTTTGGCCTCTAGCAACAGGGGGAGCATCTCCTCTCGAGTGTGGAATGTCTGCCGTACGCGTCCTCACTATCGGTGAGAGAATGAGAGAAAGGGTTTTAGTATACCACCAACTGCACGATAGGAGATGAATGAAGAGTAGTTTCCTAAGACCCTATAGCCTATCGAAGATAAGAACGAACGTCTCCGCACTGATCCGCAAGACTATACTAGGTCTGCCCATAACTTGTGAGACCTACGTGAACCTAGTGCTCTAGTACCATGTTGTCACGACCCAATTTCATCTTAGGCCGTAATGGCGCCCAACACCATTGTTAGGGAAGCCAACACTAATCAAACCAATCATTCCCATTTAAATAAAATACTAAGTGGATAACATTTCCTTATTTGTTAAAGAGATTTAGAAATTTGCGAGTGTGACATAATTAAACGGAAGCAAACAAGTACAAATCGTAATCATGTTAACAAATCCAAAATCATAAGTCTACTAGTGTGTGTGCCAAGACCCGATGTCACAAGTATGTGGGCAATCTAATAGAATATACAATAGAACACTAGCTTGTGGTCAGAAAGGAAATAGACAGAAACATAAAACATAAGGGAGACCCTAGTTGTTGCAGAACGGCTCGGAAGGAAGCTCACCGTGAAGTCTCAAGATGGGGATCAAATCTGCACACCAGACTGGTAACTAGATGCACATGTCTCAGATCCTGTACAATAAAGTACAGAAATGTAGCATGAGTACATAAATAATATGTTCCAAGTAAGTATCTAGCCTAACCTCGAAGAAGTAGTGACGAGGGGTCGACTCCGACACTTACTAGG